AAGGCACTGAACCCAGACCTGCTTTGGGGGAGGGCAGAGGAAAAAGAATCCAGTGGTGGCCAAGGCTGGACGTCCTGTCTTATCCGCTCAAGTCACCTCTGAGTGACCCCTGTGCTTGTGCAAACCAGAAACCCTGCCTCTCCAAGCCGGCACACTCCAACAGGCATCCAGGCTCCCGCATCTCCTGAGCTGAAAAGAGGGAAATCTAACATTATGTAATTGCCTGTTTCCCACAGTTTAAAGGGAGGCATACTATAATCCTAATTAGTGTGAGAAGTCAGTGCAACATGACAAGGAACAAATTAGAAATCTAGAGACTAGAAATTCTCATCCCAGACCTCCAGAGGCAGAGAGCTGGGGCCTCACCTGACTCTGCTGCACACCCGCCTAGGCGCTGTTATGTCCTAGGGTCCAACTAAAAAAAAGCTCCTGATGTTCCTCCATGTCCTTTCAGGGTCATCCCTCTTGATCTTCAAGAAAACACTCATGTTCTCTTTACTCTCCCCAGGCCAGAATAAAAGGAGAAAATGGATGTGCCCTGGCCCCTACCCTCAAAAGATATACCCCAGTGGATTTTCTTACCCTCGTGATCACAAACCCAACCACACTCATGTTATTCCCTCCCTCACTCAAACCGTCTGTTTGACAGATTCAAAGCAAAGGGAATTTTTCCCATGCTTCTGACTCACTCCAGAGCTCATCAAAAGCCCACCAAAAGAATAAAAGAGCGATTACCTAAGGATAATTAACTTAGTTCTAACCTTTGGAAAATAAAATGCCATACAAGTGTGAGGGCTTTGTTTTGCCTTTTCTTTTTTTCAATTAGCTAGACACAGGAAAAAAACAAACAAAAACCTAAAAACAAAAATCCAATGAGGTCAATTTACTTCTTATGCCAAAAAGTAGAAGTGCCGTGGATAGGTTGGATTGTCAATCTCAAGTGATCGTGGAACACCTACATTTTAAGGAGCACCGGATATGAAACAAGACACAACTTTTTGGATAAGCACTGAAAGAATAAGATACCGCTCAACCCCCCCAGAAGGGAGAGCCCCCCCCTCTAAAGGGCAGTCGCTGACTGGCAGGGATATTTCTTCTCTCCTGGCTCAGATTACCCTAGTGGAAGGGAGGGTGGTGCTATGTAAATCAGTCACATCTTCAACAGGAAGCTCCTTCAATATGTTCCTTTTTTCTGTGCAATTATCCCTCCATCTGACCCATCCCCCCTCCAAGCCCCATCCCCTGGTAACACTTACATGTACACGTAACTGAAAGAGAAGGTCTACAAGTTGCCACTATTCCAGAAATAAGGAAGGGACAATCACTTTCTTTTACAAATGAAAAATGATATTAAGGGAAGAAAATGGTAACCTTGAACAAATTAAGTTTGGCTTCTCTAAAGAGCGTACAAGTACCTTATGCTCTGAGTTAATAAGTCTATCCCCCAACCCCAAAAAGGTCGGGGGGGAGGAGCCTAAGGCTTACCATGTAGATATTTTAACTAAGTCAATTTCTTTTTCCATACTTTGTAATTTGAGTAACTCTAAAGCTTACTTACCAAACACTACATCAATACTGTTTTCAAAGCTCTTCAATTTTTTTTTTCCAATCTTAATGTTGATTTTGTTTGCTTCCTTAGGTTTTGCTCATTTAGATACTTAATAAACACTGAACACTTGCGGGGGGGAGGGAGTAGTAAACGAATTTTAACATATAGACTCAAAAAAACAAAACAAAAACCAGGAAACAAAGGAGTACAGTTAAATCTGGAAACCTGCCTTCCAATCACTGCCTGATCACTAATTAGTTCTTCTATAACCTGCGACAAATCACTTCAGCTTTCCGGGCCTCAGTTTCATCATCTGCAAAATGGAGAAAATGGGCCAAATGATCTAAATTCAAAATCCCTTCTACCTTCAACAATCTATGAATCTGTTCATCAAAAAGAAAATGCAATTGCAAATAAAACTTTATGATTTCATACATATTTTCATACTTTCATACATATTTTCTCATTAATTCTTGCAGCAAAGCTGTGAAGCAAGCATTATGCCCATTTTTGCTGAAAAAGACAGTTTTTCAGAAAGACAGTTCAGAGAGGTTTGATTATTTTTTAAGATCCCATAGCCAGAAAATTTGAAACCCAGAACTTCTGAGGGCAAATAATGGGCTCCCTTATTTCAGAAAACAATAAAAATAACTGATTGCCTGCTATGCAAAACCTTTCTGAAGGCAGGGTACCATACCAGGGTACCATAACCCCAAACTCAGAAAAGTTACTACATATGGCCCCACTGGACTATAAGTTCCATGAAACACACTTATTCACCGCCAGAACCATGGAGCCCAACAGCACACTTCCCGGATAGAGGCACTCAGTAAATAACGCCTGACTCACCATAAACTTCAAAAGGTTAGGAATATAGTGATATTATGGGGGTAAAGGGGGACTTTTTTCTGAATTTCAGATATGAGCTTCTGTGATCTGCATCAAAAGGAAGAAAGAAGCATTCTCTATCAGAGATCTAGTTCTCCATCAGAGGGATAAATATATTTGTTTTCCTCTGACAAAATCCGATTTCATCAGTGAACCAAAAATCTCCAATGAGAGATGTCACCTGGAAATCTTCAGGATATCCATACTTTATAGGTGCACTGCTATGGACCAATAGGAATAATAACACAACCATGAGGACTGACAGGAAGCACATAATTATGTTCTCACGAATCACTACATACTTGCCCCTAAATTGGAAAGATTCAGGGAATCTGTATTTTTACACTTTTCCACCTCTCGTGGTGCCTCTGTTTCACAGCTCAAAGAGACAGAAAACGGACTTTTATTGAAAAACTCAAACGGCAATTTAACAGAACATATCCATTACTCAGAGTCAACCAAGATCCCCCAAAGTTTACAAAACCACTAAACTCAAGCAATCTTCAATCTATGACTTCAATAAAGCTACATGAAGATTTTTTTAAAGTTGTTTAAAAAGCGAGGGGTAGGGGGGTTCCCTAAAATTACTCATGTAATTCAAATCAAAAGCAAAGTAAGTAAGTATGAAAGCCAGAAAATAACAGTGAAAGGATAGAGTTAAATGAATCTCAGTACAAAATCTAAGTAAGGTGCTTTGGATTTATTACCAAGAGTTCAAGTCAACCTTGCCACAGGATCCCAACGTCTGCCTGACACTTCAGATCTAAAAAGTTCTATCAGAATTGCAATTTCAAACAGGAGGAGCAGTACCAGGAACTACAGAGAAGCTAACAGCAACACCTACTGACTATCTTGAGCCACTTGCCAAACTTGTTCTCTCAGTCAAACTAGAGAAATCTAATGATAAAGTCAACTTCAAAAGTCTTCTACTTAAGCATAATGAGATAAGAAAATAAGTTGTCACCCACATAAAGCCATTCATCCCCAAAATCTCTTATTTTGCCCCTAACCATTTACAAGCAAATCATCACCCAAGTCATTTTAAATGCACTGTTAATTGCTGATGCCTCAGTACAAGTAATTTATTCCATGGGAAAAATGTTAATATTAATATTCTTGTTAATAACTGGTATGTCATCTAATAGTTGGACACATCAGTGACCATAAACTGCTTTACATAAACCTTTCATTTGAGACTACTGCTGTTACCACTGCTCTACATTATTCCCATCAGGTTTTTTTTTTCCCCCATCCTGGTAAAGGTGGTTTAATTGCAGCCTTCAAGAAATGAAAAAGAGAAAAGTGAAAGTCATTAAATCAGGATTATATAGAAAATTAATACTGTTACTAAACTGGCTGCAGAGGACGATTCTATAGGACTTAATCTTGTACTTTTCCAAAAAATTAAGTCGGAGAATCTTTGCCTTGGACGAATATTCCATATGAGAAAAGAAGAGAAAGTTGACACTTAACTCCCACAGAGTACCAGTATAAAAACAATGGGTTTAAGAGTCTGAGTCAGAGTTTCAACATGAAAGACTTACTTTATAGAGGAAACGCCAACCCCAGTTCATCCAGATAGACCTGGAACCTGATGAAAGTCGACACCTTTACTCTGAAATTTGCATCGCATCACTGGCTCCCAGTTTAGAAATATAATCGTCCAGCCGGTAGTAAGAATTTCAGGGAATGCTACCTCTAAAATACCAGGAAATTTTTCAGGAAAAATTAAATTAAGGTAAACGCAGTCTCTAGGAGCCGTCAGTCCCCAAATGCTTCCTTCAAAAACGAATACCAACAACTCAATTAAACATCTTCCCTGAAGTGATCCATTTCCCTTGTCTCTAGATTTAACAAACGGTGAAACCAGATGAAATTTCAACCTGCCTAATATGATTACTTGTCCACCTAGAAATGCCATGAAGCAATAGGGAGCCTCGCAAATTTCCTTTAGGGTCAGAAGTTGGAAACAGATGAGGCTAAAGAGGAAAAGTTGTTTTTGAGGCGCCCTCACGCCTCCCCAGCCCTCTCGAGGTTTACTTGCTCCAACGAAAGCCGGTTAGAGCATCCCCGACTTTCACTGCCCTCCCCCTCAGAACCCCGGGAGAGAAATTAACCACCCGCGGGCAGCGAGCTCCCTACTCCCTTTCCCATGATTACAACCCTCGGCCTCTCCTTTCCAGCACAGCCTGCAAAGCGCTCACCCAGGTGACTGAAGGTGAAGGGTGCCGGGTGACGACGAAAACAGCCGGGTGGGCGCAGCCACCCCGACGGGGGCGCGGATCTCCCGGCCTCTCGCAGAGGCGCTCCGCCGGTAGTTATGCAGATTCGGATTCCGAGGTGCGTGCGCGCGCGCCGTGCGCGGTGCAGCCCGGACTCGCCCCCGCCGGGCTGCGCTATCAGCACGCCACCGAATCGGAAATAAAACTTTGACCGGTCTCCCGGTGTCTGCTCCCGGCCCTGGACCCGAGCCCCAGCCCAAAACGCGCTGGGGGAGGGGGGGCTGTCGACAGTCCTGCACCCCCGCTCCCCTGCCCGGCCCCAGGGCGCTGGAGCCACTTACCGCTCAGCCCGGCCTCCCGGTGCTGCCGCGCGTCCGGGGTGGGTCCGCCGCGCGCTCTCCCTGGGGAGAAAGAGAAACCGTGTGGACGGTCGGCGCGCGCTCACTCGCCGCCTCCTCTGCGGAGAACGGCGGGCGGCGAGGCCGGGCCGGGGCGGGCGCCGGGCGGAGTAGGGCCCGGGGGAGGTGGGGGCCGAATCTGCCCCACTCCCGAGCCCGGCTCCGAGGGGGACCCGGAGAGCAGGCTGGAGAGCAGCCGGCGGGGGCCCGCGCTCCTGGAGTGGGGGGCGGAGGTGCCTCTGTCCCCGGGCATCAACTATTGTCTGGGCGTCCTGGTCCCCGCTCGCGCCGCCTCCGCGGCTCAGCGCCCCCCATCCCGCCCGCCTGCCCCCACGAGAAAAAGCTGGGGGTGGGGGCCGCGGATAAAGCGGGTTTGGGGTGGCTGGGGGTTTCGGGGTCCAGAGGTCGGAGGTGGGTGCAGGGGAAGGGGAGGTGCGTGCCGAGTGGGGGAGGGGACAGGTAACTGCCGACGGGGGTGGGAAGGCCCGCGAGGACCGGTGAAGGGGGAGGAAATGGAGAGGGAGTCCCGGAGGCGGGAAGGGATGGAGTGGCTGGGGGGCGGCCTCTGAAGCCCAGACCTGGCCCTCCCCGGGGACCCTCCTCCCGGGAAGTCGGCGCCGCACTGACTTTTTCGCTCACTCGCTCACGCACGCACTGAACTCGCTCACAAAGTTGCCGGCGGTGGCGGCGCCTCACTCGCCCTTCCCTCCCCTCCACTCCCTTCGCCTCCCCGCTTCCCCGCCCCATTCCTTCCCCTCCTTCTCTCCCTCCCTCGGCAAGTCTCGGGTGAGATCACCGCTGGGCTACTCAGCACAGCGCGCAAATCTCGCGAGAGAAGCGGCCGCTCAGCCCGGCCAGCCCGGGAAGTAGGAGTTGGAGGAAGGTGGGGGACCGCGGAACTCCTAGTTGCTATGACGACGGCAAAGCCCTGGATTCCTGTCTCCTGCAGAGAGCCAAGGCAGCAAACGTGGGTGCAGTTTTCATCCTGCCCCCTCCCTTGCCCGACTCCCTAATGGTGCGGAAAGCGAATGCTAGAAGCGGGAGGAGGATTTTTAAACCTATCTGAGAGGGCATCTGTAGACCAACGTCATGATATCTGGCCAGATTTGGCAAATGAAGCTAATTGTTTTGGGTTTTTTTCGCCAGAGGTTCTGGGGGAGATTTCTGCCATAGAAGCCAGCACGTATCTCTACCCCTAAATTTCTACCATATATTCACTCCTTCAACCTACCCGTCTAATCTCATCCCCCAACCACTTCTCCACAGGCTCCCTCTCTCCTCCCTTCCCCCGTCCCCACCTCCCCATCAGCACCACCAGATTGGCCTCCTTGAGGATCTGCCTTATTCATCTTTGTGTTCTCAGCGCCTCCACAGGCTTGGTACATAGTAGATATTTACTTAATGTCTGCTGGGGGGGGGGGAATGAGTGCAGCAGTCTGTAAGTGTCCTCAATACCTTCCTTTCATCCTACCCTGTAGAGTATGTACCTACTTAGGCTTAGAATGTAAGTTTTTGCTCCACAGCCATATTTCATTACTGTCTGTGTGTTTCTGTTCACACAGAATGTGTCTTTTTCCGTAGAGTCCTTCCTTTCTACAACTTTGTCTCATAAAAACCCTGGGGTGGGAGGAGTTTAGTTTTGTTTATTTTTTTTTTAATCACTAAGCTTTTCAAATGCCTTCAAACCTACTGCAAAATGCTGGTAAGGATCAAGATGAAATCTTTTCGAGCCCTCTTTATTCTTTTAATTGTAGAAACTTTTCTTTGGGGGTTTTAAATAGTCACTGCCTAAATAAAATGGATACTGTGAATAGAAGTGAAGCTTCAACTTTAGATTTCAAAGGGGATGAGTGAAAAATAAATTCCATGGTATGTGAATTATGTCTCAATAAAAAGCTAATAAATCCTATCCCGACTTACATTAATATGAGAAAACTGTGATTTAATTCAATCCCACAAAACTAGAAACCCATGAAAGTACATGAAGACTAGGCTTTAAGTTAAGACTGTTTAGGTCAAGTGCAAGCTTAAATCCTAGGTTGATGAAAGTTTTTACGTTAGAAACCTAAGTGAATACAACGATTGAAAAGCACTGGACAACTTCAGAAGACTAGGTTTGAGTTTTTCTGTGTCACTCATAATTGAGTCTCCTTGAGAAGTCATTTAATCTCTGATTCTTCATCTGTAAAATGAGGGGGTAGCCCAGATGTGAGGTCAGCTTTAAAATTCTGTAGCTCTATGCCTATAAAAATTTCTAATAAATAACATATTTTCCTTTTACATAATAAATAAAATGAGTGTTTCATTTTATAGGTCAGTTTCACAAAGTTTAGCTAAGTGTTGATGAGTTGATTTTAAAGTTTCTCTTGTCTCAACTGTAAAAACAACAAAAATATTGACCATGCTACAGTAATTTCACAGGGAATCCATTGTTCATGATTTGTTTTTACACTAACTCAAAACAGATTCCTTATTTAATAAATATGCTAACTCAAACCAAAGACCTAAACTGAATATATCCACACCCCCACCAAAATAACTGTAAGGAAGGAGGGAGGGAAAGAAGGAGAGAAGAAGGAGAGAAGCAAGGGAGGGTGGGAAGGCAGGCCTTAAATTCACACACTGGTGTTTTTAATATAACATTTTTTACAAAGAGGAGTGCCTGGGTGGTTCAGTCAGCTAAGTGTGTCTGCCTTTGGCTTAGATCATGATCTTGGGGTCCTGGGATAGAGCTCCGCGTTGGACTGTCTGCTCAGCAGTGAGTCTGATTCTTTCCCTCTCTCTCTCTCAAATAAATAAAATCTTTTTTAAAAAAATTTTTTTACAAAGTAACTCAATAGAGCATCACTATCCATCCCGTTGATGTGTATTTAGGAAACATCTTTCCCAGCATAGTTCACTATTGTAAATCAGCTGTTCATCTGCTCTGGCTCAACTTTTAACATAGTTTTACCCATAAAGGATGGCTGCCAATCTGTATGCACCAGCACCATACAATTTCAAGGCCACCTGTTTTATGACTCCCAGATAGCTATTTGATAACAATTGAAACAACTGACCCAAGTGCTAGCCAAATCTATTAACTGTATTCAATGCTATGAGGCTCAAGTGTGGGTATTGGCCTCAGATTACGAAGGTAACCTCCCTAACCTTCAAATAGAGTAGAATAGGAGAAATTATCTCAGGGACCTGAAACTGCTCTTTCAAGGCCCTGGGCTACTATTTATCTGTCATTGGTGACAGAATTTTCACCTATGTTTCTGAAGGAGATAAAAGGTGAAATCCACCAAAGCTGTAGGTTCTGATTACATGTTTTCTGACTCAGTCACTCCCTCTGTATTCTCCTTGGCCTTCTGGGGCTTCAAGATAGCAGAGAAGAGGCAGCAGAAAAGTAAAAGGGGAATACAGAGTTTGCCAAACACCATTCCTGCCTACTCTCCCTGGGCTCCTCTACCCACCTCTGCCTAACCCCCTCCCACACATAGGGATGTGTAACCTTTCCTAGTGATAAGGAGAACATCTAGTCATTTCCTGTTCCTCCTTCCCTATTCACTTCTTTTTTTGTTAGAACACAGTTGAATTCATTTCCCTCTGGTTATTTATTTCTACACAACAAAACACCCTAACATATCTGATATGGACTGATTTTGACACAGAAGCCTACCAAGGAAGCAAAATTGGTATTTTTTTAATATTATAAACATCAATTCACATTTGCATGTTTTTCAGTTAGAGTCTAGTTTATTCAGCCTATTATCATCAATTCAGAACTTCCTATTATTCACTATACATCTATAGGGAAGTACTAACACATATGCAGAAAAATTACTCTTAACTCTTAAAAAAGACCAAAGTGCTCCCAAATCATCCAAAATTAAGTTATAGTTAATGCTGTCTCAATTTTAGGGTTTTATTGTTTTAGCCCTATGCAACTTGATTTATCTGAATACTAGATTTCTTAGAACAGTTCAGTCTCCCATCTGCATGATAATATTTATCACATGTTTAAACACCAACAACTTTATAATCAATTCACATTGCTTAGCAGAGCTACTACACTTCCTTGTCCACTCCCCCACTCTTCTAAAGGACTATTTCACACCTTCTCCCCCTTCATCAAACCTCTGGCTTATTACTCACAGCTAACGACCTTGCTTCTTTGTTGGTAAAATAGAAGCAATCAAAAGAGAACCTGGCACACACTCGCTTCCTGCCACTCTAGATACCAACCCACCTGTACCTGTCCGCACATACTCTTCTGCCCTCCTGCACTTGTGATGAACTCTCAGAGCTCTAAGCTAAGACTAACCTCTCCCACTGTGTACTAGTCCCATCCCCTCTGACCCAGGGACATCAATTCAGTAACTGCCCCTCTCTCCTGCATCAGGAAATTTCCCTCTCTACTGAGTCATTTCTAAGAGTGTGTATGTATGCTGTAATATCTGCCATGGTGAAAAATAAGACATTTCCTAGAGTCCATATCTCCCTCTACTTCACTTTACCCCTCAAATCTTCAAAAGATTTTGCCTTGCTTGCTGTCTTCAGTTCCTCTCCTCCATTCTCTTGAATTGCCCCCACCAGTCCAGGGAAACAGATCTTCTCAGGGTCCTCAGTGACTGCCTTGTTGCTAAATCCAGTGGTCAGTTCCCATCCTCACCTCATTTGAGCCCTCAGCAACAGAGAAAGGTTGGTCACTCTCATCCTTGAAATACTTTCTTCATGTGGCTTCTGGGCTAAGAGTCTGTCTTGGTTCTTGTTCTAGCTTTGTGGCCTTCTCAGGCTCCCATCTCTCAACTCAGAAGTCCCCAGGTCTCTATGGACATCTTCTCTATGTGGTCTCTTACCATTCTGTGGTCATCTCACCAGTCTGATGACTTTAAATGACGCCTATATTCTGACTACCCTCAAATTTACATCTCCAGTCCAGATGCCTCCCTGAAATCCAGACTCATACATCTGTGAAAATTAATAAAGGGAAACCTCCCTAATGTGGAGTCCAGAGG